AATGATAACTATAATCTTAGAGCGAATATGTTAAACACATATAAACTGTCTAGGATAATAAATAAATATTCAGAATACAGTATTTTATATCGAGGTCCAAAAGTATGGACCTCGATAAAGTTCAAAAATACGGTGAGTTCATTAAGTTCATTTAAGTTTTTAACAAAAAAAGAAATCTTTAAAACCTGTGAAACATTTTTTGTTAAATTCTCTTAAATACGTTTTTGTTTTGTTTCTACTTTTGTTTGTTGCTTGACAAATTTTTGTTAGTGGATTACGCATTTTATTATAATATTTTATTGAAATTTTTATTTTGTATGTCATATTACGATATTTTAATTAAATCTTGTTAAAGGGGTTCTATGAAAACATTGTGATGACGTTCTCTCATCCTCATCTTCTTTGAGCTCCTATCTGTTTTACTTGTTTTGTTAAATTTTATATTATGTAGTGGAATTTGTAAAAATCTTATGTTATGTAAACAGAGAAAAAAAATAAATAAATAAGTAGAAGTCTTAACACACCTAGGTTTTTTTTTTTTATTTTACTTTTTTTATATATATATTTATTTTTATCCCTCAAACATACTTACTACAGTTATAAATTGAAAATTATCAAAACGGTAAGCCACATGATATCATGGAATATTTCAGAGCTTACAATGCATTGCGATAGAATTATTACAATTGGTTAAAATTTAAAACTCAAAATGAGGCAAGATTGTGAGTTTTATATGTATGGCCCATATGATAGCCGCATCAAATTTAGCACAAACTTATTTAAGGATTATGCCACATTAAGTGGAATAGTTATGTGAACCGCATTATGTGTTTCACAAGTGGGTCAACTTATTTTCATCAAATATGCCATTCATTAACTGTAATATAATTTTGAACTTTTAATCCACACGAAAGCACTATGACTACATGTGGGCCACATCTTTCTTGTCGGGTAGTGCTAAAAGTACTTAAGTCAAAAAGTTAATGTTTTAACACTTTAAAATAACAGTTCAAAATGGCTGATCAAAATAGATTTTCTCAAAACATAAATTTTGCAACTGAAGTGCTTTTAACAAAAAGCTCATTATATATTAAAGAGCTTTAAAAAGATAACATTTTGAATCTCAGTATTTAATGTTCATTATTCCTGACTCATGAATATTCAAAACTTTTAAGCTTCATAACTCTTTCAGATGTATTATATATATATATATATATATATATATATATATATATATATATATATATATATATATATATATATAAATATATATAAATCAACCTAATAATAACCTAACAGCTACTTGTTTTACTTTAAATTTAATTTGAATTATATGTAAATTCTCCCTTTAGAATTATATGATAAACATTTTGATACTAAAATCCTCATTCAATAAACTTCTTTACCAAAATATACGAATAGCAGCAGAGAGACGTATTTTTTTTAAATAAGATTGGTTGTTTATTTATAAGAATTAAACATTTTTGAAACTAGGATGTGTTAAACCATCACCAATATAAGAAGAAATGAAATAAAATTTTAGCAATTTTTTGTAAAAATTATGATTGGCTGAGAAAAGCTCTTTTTAATAAAAAATTCATATTATTACAGTGAAGGTGCTAGTTCGATACCCCCTCTAGCTCCCTTGAAATGCCCAGTAGGTGGAGGCAATTATAAATTTGTAGTCCATTGTTACACCTATCTTTTAATGTTAAGTTATAGATATTTAAATTAGAATTGACAAATTTATAATAATTTAAGTAAAGAAAAATTAAATTTTACCCACATTTTCTTTAACAAATCCATGTCAAAAAAAAATTGCTAATAAAAACATCATAATTTTTTGTAAAATTGTTTGATTTTAACAATTTTTTCAGCTTTAAAATACGGTATTAAAGCCCTTTCTAATTATATATAATAAAATAGCCTTTGATCATTTTAAAACTTTAAATTCACATACCTACTCATAACAATAGCAAACATTAAACTTAGTTAAAAATATTTTACCTAAACTTAGTTAAAAATATTTTACCTAAGTTTAATCTAACCCAAAAAACTTTTCAAGAACAAATAACAAAGAGCATACACAGTTTCCTGCATACCCCAGCATACAACCTTTTTTTTCCACAAAATTCCTATCAAATTTTCTAATAAAAGTTGCCCCCTTTCCCTAACCCCGTGTATTAATTTTAAACCACGATCATCTATTTCTATCGTATTTAATAATTCTCCTGCTTTTCTTTTTATTACTCATTATATAAAATTGCTCATTATAAAAAAGCTTGAAAAACTCTTATTGAAAAATGAATTAAAAAAATGAAGGAAAAGAAAACGGTTAATTTTAAAATTAAATTTGTTAAATTTAAAAGCAAAATGAAAAAAAACACAGCATCTTTTGCATCTAATGCTTAAAATAAAAACAGATCTTTGAAAGTAAGGGCGGTGGAGTTAGGTTGAAATTTAATAATACAGACAAGTACACCACTTAATAAAAAATAAAGTCATTGTTTGTATGCGCGTACCATAATCATAAACAACTGTTAATTTTAATAATAAAATCTGTTAGTATAACTATGCGCGTACAAATAAGGTTTACATATTATGTAAATACAAATATATTACAAATAAGATTTCCATTAAATAGAAATCTCATTTCCACACGAAAAATGTTTATATGCGTCATTAACTTATTGACGTAGTAAGGGTCTACTTTTGAGGCACGACTGTGTTTAAGATCAGCGCAATGGGTGTGTGTTTGTGTATGGGGATGGAGGGGGTGACATCCCTCCCCCATCAACAATTTTCTCGTTCATTTAGTTGGCGTTTTAACTATTTTAGACAAGTCAGTCGACAAACTTAGACAATTTAATTTAAAATTTAGACACTTTAGACAAGTTAATTGGTTAATATAGACAGTCAATTGGCAAATTTAAAAAAAGGAGGACTATTTTTTTTTAATCGGCAAAAGTTGTAATGGCTCCCACCCCACCCCTTTCACGTGACATCAACTCACGCCGGTCCAGAATGTTACTTAAATCATTTTAATCAGCAACGCTTATTTGCACTAATAAACAAAACAAAAAAGATCAAAGGTTTTCCCTTGCATAGCCTTAAGTTAAGTAAAATTTTAAAACAGCCCACAAAGTTTATAGAAAATTGCCGCGTAAAAGAGCCTAAAATCTCCTACTTCTTTTTTTTAAATATTTAAAAACTTATTTAAAAATTTAAACTTATTTAAATAAAAGAAGTAGGAGATTTTAGGCTCTTTTATGTGGCGATTTTCTGTAGGCGTTGTGTAATTTATGGACGATCTCTAATATATAAAATAAATAACATTTTATATTTTTTCTTCTCAGACAAATTTTTTACTATAATTTTTTAATGAAAATTAATACTTAATGTATTTAATTAATGTGCGCCAGGGATCCTTACAGTACAGGCCCCCTACAAATCAATTTTTATAAATCGATTTTTACGGGCAATTTATTATTTAATATTTAATAAAATCAGCATTTATTATTTAACTAACTTATTAACTTTATTTTTTTTTACATTAACAAAGATTCTATAGAATTTCAATATGTCCTATGTTTCAAAAGGTTATAGAATTTCTATAGAATTCTTTTCCTGGGTAGATTACCGATTGGGATAGGAACAGCCACAAATAGTCACACTGACTGTTTGTGGCTGCTTCTATACCTCCAAAGTAGTATCCTGAATTGATTAATATTTTTGCGTACACAAGCGCTGAGTTGGCGGTGACGCTCTAACCAACCGAGCTATCCAGCCACTATTTTAACTATCCATATAGTTTTTTAAACTAGTAAGCAACCGGGGCCTAGGCCCCTGCTAAAAATAAGACTTGTGCAAACCCGGCCCCGGCAAAGTTATAAGATTTAGCAGGGGTTGATAGCCGGGGCTAGAAAAAAAATTATAATCTTAATCTATTATAATTTTATGCTTACATTTACTGTTTACTAAATACTGGCATACATTTATGTATTTTTAAACTCTAATTTACTTCCAACAAGATTGCATTCAACCACTATTAAGTAATGAGTTACTTTAAAATAGAGGATAAGTTAAAATACTAGGAAACGTATAACTAAAGACATAACAAGTTGTAAGTTGTATAAAAAAGGAAAACATGAAGTTGGGTAAGAGTTTTAAGGTATTTTTGATGTTTAAAGAAAAAAACTGGATTTATTATCATGCTGTAAAAAGTTTTTATTGAATGAAGAGACAAATACAGTATAAAAAAACGCCACTATAGATGTTATTAAGATTGTTATTGTAGATAAGAAAAAATGCAGAAGCAAGTATAGAGCCTTGTTGTACCCTAAAAGATATATGATATAAAGAAGAGGATAGACCTTCAAGAATAGCTTTCCCAGAGGGAATAAAAGATATCTATAGACGAATAAAAGACGACATTTTTATGACTTTAATTTTTATAATCAGGCAAATTAAAGACGTAGAAAAGACGTCTTTTAAAAAGACGTCTTCAAAAATGAGATCAAAAAGAAGTCAATCGGTTTTACGTCTTTAGTAAGACTTTAAAAAAAGACGTCTTTTATATCGATGACTTTTAAAAAAAGAAATGACAAAATTTTCATTTAAATGTTAAATTAAACAACACCCAGTAAAAGTGTTTTTTTAGGAAGAATGAAGGGAAATATCACTAACGTTTACCACTGGGAAACGCTAGTGATAGTTAGGAAAAGTTTTAAGTTAAATAACTTGACTAAATAAACAAATCATAACTTGCTTACTATAATTATAATAAACAAATTATTATTTGTTTATTAACAACTTTCATTGTTAATAAGGAAATCATTATTTGCTTAAGAAAATTGAAAGAATTTATTGCCAATAGAACTTAACAAAGATGGGTTTTAACCAACAGTATCGTAATTACGATATCTTTGTTACGTTCTGATTGGCCCGTTTTTTGTTCACAAAATACTTTTATTAAACTTTTTTGCGAAACTCTTTTGTGAAACGTTATTGCATTAAAAATTAAATAAAAAATCAACTATTTTCGGTAAGCGGGTTTATTTTATAATTTGTATAATTAAGTAATATATTATGTAAAATATATATAATATATATGCTTATATATTATAGTGTATATGTATATATATATATATATATATATATATATATATATATATATATATATATATATATATATATATATATATATATATATATATATATATATATATATATATATATATATATATATATATATATATATATATATATATATATATATGTATATATATATATATATATATAATTATATACTCAGCAAGCGCATAACGTTATTTCAACATTTTTTCAACGTTGAGATGGTTGATATATGTTTGAAAAATAACAATCTAAATTTCAACGTTATTTCAACGTTAGTTCAACGTTAAAAAAAACGTTGAAATTTCAACGTTGATTCAACGCTGATTTTCAACTAAAAACAAACGTTGAAATAATGTTGAAATAAACGTTGAAATAACGTTGAAATTACGTTGAAATTTAGATACGAGAGTTTGCCGACGCAAATATACTAATAATTCGGAAATAAAGTAAAATTTAATATTTCACGTAGGTTTTGCATATTTTATATAAAAATGCAAAACGTGTTTACATTGCAAATTCCTATAAATTTTTATATGAATTTGGATTAAATTTCTATATGTATATTTTACATACATATATAAACATATTTAAATGCCTAAAGTTATATATACCAAACTTGTAACGCGCGCCTCAGAAGTATAAGAAATTCTTGGCTATATATTTTTCAGGTATCTACATCATAATAAATCAAAGTTTTTAAAGTTTGATTAATAATTTTTAGAATTAGCAATATTCAACAAAAATTAATAATAAAATTAAAGATATCTTAATACAAAGTGCTTGTTTGGACATTTAAAAGGTTTTAGTAATGAAAAAAAGAGCTGAATAATTTTTTATAGCATATGTCTAATATCCAGCCCATTGTGCACTGGTCGGAAAAATAACCCTAGAATCTAGCTGTTTACATATCTATAAAAAAAAAGTAAAAAAAAATAATAATGAAATAATGGTTAATAAAATTTTGCCGCCCACCCGCATACTTTCCCGTTTTTTTTTTAGGACGGGAAACAACTTTGCAATTCAAATTGGCCTTGTATATAAATGATTATTACATATATTTATAAGAGCAGTATTAAAGACGATTTAATCTTTATCAAATCTTATGTAAAGTATTTATTGTATCCTTTTTTTTTTTAGGAATTGGTATAATAACATCAGATAAAGTAAAAACTTATAAACTGGATTGCAGGCGTTAACATAACTCCAAAGTAGGTTAGTATTTTCATTTTACCGTTTATTTTTAAACATTTTGTTGCATTATTAAAATAAAATAAAGATGGCTGGCACAGTTGAACAGAACAAAAATTTAAAGGTTTAGCTAAAAAAGGATAAAATAGACTAATGAAGGTTAATGAAGGCTTTAATATTGTAGAAGCTAAAGTATACTATAAAGTCATTTTTAAGTATATCTACTTTGTTTTGTCAGATGGTGTGATTCTTGAAAGAAAAGAAAAAGTTTCAAAATCTTAGACAGATTAAAAAAAACGTTGTATCAAACAATGTTTGTTAAAAAAGTTTAATGTAATTTTGGTTTCAACATGTAAAGAGGAAGCAGCTTCAGTAGAAAATGGTTGTGATAGAAGTAAGAAAATTTGAAGAGAGTGTCTTAAATATTGTATGAATGAGCTTTAGTTAGGAAAAACAAATGCTCTAGAATGTTTATATTAGAGAAACAGCATAAAAGAGAAAGGTTAAAGCCTAATGATGTTGATAATGATCATAATGATAATTATGATGATGATGATTATCCTAATCGTTATCATCATTATCAAGCCTTCCATTTTTATGCTGTTGATAATGATGATGATGATGATGATGATGATGATGATGATTATGGTGATCATGGTTATGATGATCATAATAATGTTTATATATGGATATATATACAAAATATAACATGAATTTTGAATAAAAAAATATATTAAATGTTTAAATGTTTATTCAGCCCCGGTCACAAACCTGGCACCGGCTATATTTTATCAAACGCAGCCTCGACACCGGTCAAATATTAACCCCGGTCGCTTGCTATTTTAAATTGTAATTTAAAAAAACAACATTTCCTTTAGAATAAAACAATTCTCATAGTTAAGAAGCATATATTTTAAGCAATTTAGAACTAGTAACTACATAAAATTACAAGCTCTTACTTTTAGTTCCCATACTTGAACAAAATATAACAAAAATAAAGAATCTAATTTGCGCAGTGCCCCCCCCCCCCCCCCCCCCCCCTAAAAACCTATTGCATTTATGAGAAAGATTCTTTATATATATAGAGTTATTTATAACTTAATTTTTCATAACCACAAAAACTCAACTTTTTTGCAACATTTTTAAGGTTTTCTTTCTTTTCTGTTAAAAACACCATTTTGAAAAACTTGCCGCACTTACAAAAATTGTAAGAAAAACTCGTAGTAGCATAACTATTCCAGCAAGCACATAAACTTGTTTGAACGTATAAAATTTAGTTCCTTGAAAAATCTTAGAAATCATCATTATTTCAACGTAAGTTCACCGTTAAACGTTGACATTTTAAACGTTAAGAATAAATTACAAGTTAGCTGACTCAAATGTAATAATAACTTATTATTACATCTATATATCGGTCCTAATGTAATTAAAAAAAAAAAAATTAAATAATGCGCATAGACTGTTGCGAGGAAAAGTTCTTCAAAAACTCATAATAAAAAGTATTAATGTAATAAAAGTAAAAATATTAAAAGCAAAAGTATTACAAAATTTTATGCTATGAAAATATGTGTAAATTAATAAATATTATAAGGGAATGTCGATTAATTATGTCAAAAACTTTTTGGCAATTTTACCTTCCTCCCTCCCTGTCGATAACATGTCAAACTTAGAGAGACCCTCAAAAAATTTACACCTACATTTGATTACCCCCTTCTCCTCCAAATAAAATTAAAAAAACCTATTTTTTTTTTCTTTTTTTAAGTAATTAAATTTATTTAAAAAAGTAAATTTGTTGACGTTAACTTTTCTTGGTCTCCTTCTCCCCTTGTTTACAATTGTCAGATTCTCCCTCCCCCTATTTTATAAAATAGGTACGTAATTAATGGACAACCCATAGGTAGTCGAAGGCGTAGCCAGAATTTTTTGGTGTTCGAGAGTTAACTTTCTGGTATAAACTCCAATTATTTTTAGGATTATACTTACGCAAAATAAGAATGGTTTGCAAAAAATTGCCATGATTGGAGCCTGAAAACAAAAATTTCCTAAAGTTTTAGCCCTCTTTCCTACCCTAAACGTATTAGCAACAAGCTAATAAAATTTTTTTTTTTACTACTTTTAGTTAGACTTATATATATTAATGAATATTAAGTTTCGTAGTACAATCTCTCTCAGCGTTTGAAAATTTTGACCTCACAAAGTTTGAACTCCGCTCAATTTGAAGAAGTTACAAATTATTAGGAAATAAATAAAAAAAATTTATAAGTTATAATTATCATTATTATCATATTTTATCAGGACATAATTTACATTTCAATTTAAAATAAAAGTGCTATCCACCTGTTTTCCCAAACTAAATAGCAAAACTAACACAAATAGAATTGAAAAAGAATTTTGAAATTTGTAAACTTTTTAATAGTTATACTCATATGATCATTTAAGAGTTTTTCACCAATTTAATAAAAAAAAAAAACTTTCTTTGCAAGTTCTTATCTCACACAAGGAAGCTTGAGCACGAGAGAGCTTGAGCAAGCAGTTTTCTAGTTCTAAATTTTGCGTGTTAATAGTATATAATAAACAAAATTTAAACGTAAGTTTTTAACTAGTTCTTTTTGCACTGTTAAGCAAGAGTTCCTTATTGTAAGCTTATCAATTGGAAAATTTATACAAATCGTTTACATATCTTTGAGATTAGAAGAAAAAGTCTTTTAACTGATTTGAAAATAACACGTAGCATTTCCGTAAAGTTAAGGTTGACAAAGCAATTGCAAGGTAGCAGTAATATATCGTTGATTTATAAACATTTGCATTTGCCTTGTGTATATGGTTAGGTTTCCTCTTTGAAAGTAGTCTTATCATTAGGTTTCCTCTTTGAAAGTAGTCTTATTCTATTTTTATTTTTTTCCCCATAAATATTTTTTTGATAGGAAAAAATTTAGATGGCTAGTTATTGAAAAAAAAGTTACAATTAAATAAAACAATAATTTTAAATAAAAACAGTCTCCTACATTTTTGATATAAAATCACATTAACTTCAATAATATTTTAGAGACGCAAAAAACACCCTAAAACAAAGTTTAAGACCCATAAACCATTTGTTTACATTTGTTTACAGTCTAACTTTTAAAAGAGATGAGTGTAAATATTTTAACTTAAATCAAATTTTGCAATGCACAAAATTTAGAGTTAAATGTCAACAACAACAAAAAAAACCTACTTTCAGTTGATGTATCTGAACTTTGGCAAGAACTTGCTTCAATTTTACGTTCATCACGATTAGTACATATATATTCGTTTTTCTCATTCTTATGTTTAATGGGATCAGTTAAAGTTATTCCTACCTTCTTCTTACTAATCTATAAATAAAAATTAATAAATAAAAGTAATATACGCAAACTTACTTAAACAAATGCACTCAAGACATTTTAAAATTTAAAACAAACAAAAAATATTTTAAAAACTATTGGGAATGTCTTGAAAATTATTTAGCTCGAAATCTTGACAAGATATACTAGTTGTAGCACAACTTTGTGACACTGTACTCGCTTATAAGACATGATTATTTTAAAAGACTTTGTTAGTAACTATGTTACTCTAATACTTCATTAGTTCATAACTGTTTTAACATATTTAACATACGTAAATTTTAAAAATGTTGCTATTAAACTATGATTAAAATTTTTTTTTATGAACATAAATTATATGAACATATATGAAAATTTAGTCAATGTTTTTTAAAAGATTTGATTAAAACTTCTAGAGGAAATCCACCCTTTTAGAAAACATTAATTCAATTATGCAAGTAATGAATATTACATTGATTCAATTATGCAAGTAATGACATATTATATAAACTAGATGTCTAACTCGCAGGATTTTATTAGACGAAAAACGTTAAATGAAATGAAGTTATAACTTTATTCCGAAAAGTAAAGTCTATAGAAGTCTAATTTATATAATATATCATTGTATGTGAGAGTTATTCAAACCCGTCCCGAGGAACTGCGTAGGGTGTCTAAATCCCTTTAGAAATTGATCCTTAAGAATCTATATCAGCAAATTGGACACTGCAGCCAGCAAAATTGTTTCTGTAGTTGGCTGTATTTTTCACCGTTTTTAACTCGCGTGTGAGTTAAAAGTACTGCTTTGTTTTTATTGTGTTAAAGCTTCAGTTTGTAAAAAGTTTTGATTTTTTTCCAGGATTCTTAAATTCTAGATTTGCAGCTAACTTTTGGAAAAGCAAAAATAATTTTTAAGTACTTGCAATATGTATTATATTATATGCAATATGTATATGCAATAGAAAAACCATCATTTAAAAAATTTCAATTTTATTGACTTTTTTTTATAAAATTAACTCTTTGATTATGTACTCAATTAGACGCAAATAAAAATACTTTTTTTATGAAACAGCTGTATGATTGCAGATTGTAAATTTTTTTTTTTTTGCGCTTATTAAGCAGTGACGGATCCAAAGAAAGGAGAAGGGGGTACCTATTAGATCTGAAAATTCTGAAATATCGTAAAAATTGAGGACTTTTTTTTAGAGACGCAAATGTGGTACAAAATACAAAAATATTTGAACTTCCACCCTCCCCCTTTTCTCAATAATACCTGGATCCGACACTGTTATTGAGCGCAGGGATCTCTTTTGCGCGGATAGGTGGAAAATGTGTCTTTTATATATCAGTAGAAACCAGGTGATAAAACCATCAAACTAATAACTTTCTTTTTTAATTGCTGTTGCGCGCTTTACGTTAAAGATGCAACAGCATTTGAAAAAAAAAAATTATAAAAGTATAAGGATAAAATTAACTAACAAACGCTTTAAAATATAACTTTAAAAAAAACAAAAACCCATAAGAAAAAGAAATATAATATGGATCAAATCCCCCCTACAGTAAAAGCGTCTCTACCAATCTTGGGTATATCTTATTAAAATTAATCAACAAACGTTTTCCAATATCCTACCCCTATAAGTTAATTGACAGAAACACACTTAAAGTGAGTTATAGCTGTACCAAAAT